ATAGTGGGGTCATTCATTCATTTGTTGTTGCAACTGTTGTTGTGGTGTCAGTTTTACTATTGGATGTTTCAATGCTCTCTTCCTCTTACGTATATTCTTACGTAGCTTACGTGGCATTTTAAGTGAAGTTAAAAAGCGGTTTTTGACAGATGTTTATATGACACTTTTTGTTCAGCACAAAAAACTACTCGGTCAAAGTGTTGTCAGTTTTGTAAAATAAACGTCCTATCTCATTCTATAAGGGGGAAAGCTTCTCAAAGTATAACTTCCTTGGAACGCCTGTAACTTTTCCTGTAGCGACGATAGACCCTTACTTGTCCGGACAAAGCTGTACTATTTTGAGTGCTCTACAAAAAAAGTCAACGGAGACACTCTCAAAACCGTTGTGTAAAAAGTTTACCGTTGGAACAAAAGTATGTATAGAAAACAAAAAACGTTTATAGTTCATTCAATATTTGAGATGGAACGGTTTGCCAACGGAGACTTTATCAATAAAATAAAAAAATAGAGGGGGTTACCGTTGACGAAAACGGTTTATTTTAAACTTTTCTATGAGTAGTCCCGAAAAAACAGTTTATTTTTGTCTAATGTACGCGTCTCGAACAGTGAAGCCCAATTCAATAGAATACTATCTCGAAAACAAGAAGAGCTGACACTGCTATTCAGTCTTTAATACAGAACCAAGCTCAGGAGAACTCAAAAGACTCCCAATTCAAATCGACATCCAATTCGAAGCAATTAAAACTTGACACGAATGTTTTAAAACCACAGCCCGACGAACAAATACAGCTCTAAGAATAGACAAAGAATACGAACAAAGAGTTGAGGTCAGATTGAAATTACAATCGGATGAGTAATTTTCCCTTAACAACCAGGGAAATACTCCATATAACCGTATCTACACAAATACCGTTAAAGAAACAATAACGGCATACACAAAATCTTGTTCAATTGGTCCCCAACCAGGACCAATTGACGCGACATTATATGTTTCCTACCTTCCCATATTTGTTGAGTGTGTGGAAGGTAGGACATTGTTACAAGCTTGCTTACGTATGCCACCAAATCTCCGTCAACAATTTGCTCAAATTGTACATGAATTTAAAGCTTTTAACAACGGATACGATGAAGATGAAGTAGCAGATGAATTTGGGGAAGAAAAAACATTTTCCCCTCATATTAATACGCCTGCAACAGTATTTCCTACTAATGAATTTCACAACTATTGTTGTCGTTTCATTTAATTGTTGTGGATATGCCCACGGGTAAGACATTCTCAGTGGTGACTTCATCGAAGTCTGTATCAATACAGAATTGGGAGAAGATGAGTTGCACAAATTCTCCTACGTCGAACATATATTCAAACCAGCACACCAACTCTTTATCGAAACTGAAATAACACTCACACAAAATAATGTCCATCTCATTTAAATCCAAATCAGGACGTCCATACAGAATTTGGATGAACTACGTCCTCCTCCACTACGCCGACGATGACGAGAAGAGGAAGAAGAGGAGGAGGAAGAAGAAGAGTCCTCCGAATTCACACCAGAAGGACTAACAATTTTCCGAATAAAAACTTCATTTATACTAACATCTTCGGGGCTAGAAGGGGCGCAGCCCCTGGAAGCCCACTACCTTTTTTTTTTTTTTTTTTTTATTATAGTTACATGTTATTTCAACAATCATTATCATTAAAAATTCAAATTATTCAAGTGTTTGTCCCGACGGTTTTTACGGTTTATAAAAATGTTGCGACTCAATCCATCAGCAAAATGTCGGTATGGGGTGCCCTTCTTTGGCCTCCTGAGTACTCACCAAGATACCCCCAGCTCCCGCAAAACACCTCCCTTAGGTGAGCATATAACTGATGACATGAGTTAACAATTATTCTTACAAAATCATCAAGCATGAAGGTTTATGATTTATAAATCAAAATCTCAGAAACTGCTTGACTTTGCAAGTTGCTGTTTTACCGGTTACTCTGCTGCAATCTCTTTTCTGATTGCAGCAGAGTTCTGCATCCTGAGGACATTGCTTGCAGATATGCTTGTAATCACTACGTGAGCAACTTGGTGTTGCAAGTTGCTGTCTTTTACCGGTTACTCTGCTGCAATCTCTTTCTGATTGCAGGCAAAGTTCTGCATCCTGAGGACATTGCCTTGCAGATATGCTTGTAATCACTTACGTGAGCAACTTGTGTTGCAAGTTGCTGTCTTTACCGGTTTAGCTTTTTTTGAAGTTTCTTCGCATCTTATATAAGCTCTAGATCAATAATTTATCATTCAGAATTTGCATTCTCATAAAGCACGATATTAATCAAATAGGCAAATTTCATTCGGAGTCTCTCATTAAATGAGAAACTCGAATGAGATTTGCTCTAAGGTAATGTACTTGTTATGCTTTGGCCTAGAAGCAAGGAGGAAACATGTATATGGTTTGTTTATACTGAAGTTATCTGGAATTCTCTCAATTGAGGATTCAAATCCAGATAACAGCAGTATAAGTTAATATTGTTGTGCACCTCAGGTTGTTTATAGGCCGAGAACGAGAAAAGAATTTATGGTGTGAATTGGCTCGATATATACCTACGCTCTTGTAAAAAATACGTTATATTTTCTTTCATATGAGAAAAATGTTTTTCTTTTTTATAATACTATGTGCTTTGTTACTTCATAAATTGTCTATTTTTCTTATTAAAACCTATTTTTTCCGTGTGATTCGGAATCTACGCATTCAAAAAATGCGTTTTCCGCTCTCAGAACGCGAAAATATGAACTACATGACGAGATAAATCGATTTATTATGTTTCCTAAATATTCTCATTTTTCAATCTTGCTCAATACTCAAAAATAAGCAGACTCTCAAATAGAGAACATAAAATAACTCATATTTATCATATTAAAATTTTGAAAAAGTCTCCCGAAAAAATCATATTTCGAAAATTTCGAAAAAAAATAAGTACATTTTTCGCCAAAGAAAAAAGAAAAATGTTTTTTTTTTGAATTTTGATGATAATAATGCACTCCTGACGGTCGCAGTGTCTCATTCTGGGAGACATTGCCTGTGCATGTCTCCCAGAATGGCATACTGTTCCGCATTCATAACTTGAATGAGGAACTTTGACCGACAGAGTGCATTGTGCACTCTTGTTGGTCTGCATGTGTCATTCCGGGAGACATTGCTGTGCATGTCTCCCAGAATGGCATACTGTTCCGCATTCATAACTTGAATGAGGAACTTTGACCGACAAGAGTGCATTGTGCACTCTTGTTGGTCTGCATGTGTCATTCCGGGAGACATTGCCTGTGCATGTCTCCCAGAACGAGACAATTTATTGCAATCAGAATACGATTGCAAAACTTTGACCGACAAGAGTGCATTGTGCACTCTTGTTTGTCATCCACTATGATACTTAGAGAAAATACTTTACTTACATTATTTAAAATATTAATTTCCCTATTTAATATTTATTTATTATTTTTTGTGCTTATATTCCCTATGGCATGTACTGAACTATTTTATAGACTCTACGCAGCTATTTCCACATATAAACATTTGACAATAACACATATATACTCTCTTCATATTCTAGTCTCATGACATATTATTGCAAAAGCTATATTTATACAGCATACCTCATAAAGTCTCATTATATCCCTATCTAAGCGTTCAAAACCTATTTTCCCCACGTAATCTGATTCTTCAGGCTCCGCTGATTCGATTTCTGCTGTCAGATCGTGAAAATATGAATCACATAACAAGATAAACACAAGTTACCCAACTTGATATTTTCCGTAAAAAAACTCTTTAAGTTCAAACAACATCATTTTAGAAAAATTCAATTTTTTCCAAAAGTGTGTGAATTCAAAAAGTCACAATATATCTAGTTATTACCCAGTATTAATTTTTTAATTTAGTTTTTGAGATATTCATTATATAATACGTATTATTCAGAAAATTAAATACATTTGTAAGGGAAAACGGAATTAATAACAAATATATGAATATCGTGGAAGAGTCAATTTGAAGAAAACATTATTATTTTGGATTTGTTTTATCTTGTTATGTGATTCATATTTTCACGATCTGACAGCAGAAATCGAATCAGCGGAGCCTGAAGAATCAGATTACGTGGGAAAATAGGTTTTGAACGCTTAGATAGGGATATAATGAGACTTTATGAGGTATGCTGTATAAATATAGCTTTTGCAATAATATGTCATGAGACTAGAATATGAAGAGAGTATATATGTGTTTATTGTCAAATGTTTATATGTGGAAATAGCTCGTAGAGTCTATAAAATAGTTCAGTACATGCCATAGGGAATATAAAGCACAAAAAATAATAAATAAATATTAAATAGGGAAATTAATATTTTAAATAATGTAAGTAAAGTATTTTCTCTAAGTATCATAGTGGATGACAAACAAGAGTGCACAATGCACTCTTGTCGGTCAAAGTTTTGCAATCGTATTCTGATTGCAATAAATTGTCTCGTTCTGGGAGACATGCACAGGCAATGTCTCCCGGAATGACACATGCAGACCAACAAGAGTGCACAATGCACTCTTGTCGGTCAAAGTTCCTCATTCAAGTTATGAATGCGGAACAGTATGCCATTCTGGGAGACATGCACAGGCAATGTCTCCCGGAATGACACATGCAGACCAACAAGAGTGCACAATGCACTCTTGTCGGTCAAAGTTCCTCATTCAAGTTATGAATGCGGAACAGTATGCCATTCTGGGAGACATGCACAGGCAATGTCTCCCGGAATGACACATGCAGACCAACAAGAGTGCACAATGCACTCTTGTCGGTCAAAGTTCCTCATTCAAGTTATGAATGCGGAACAGTATGCCATTCTGGGAGACATGCACAGGCAATGTCTCCCGGAATGACACATGCAGACCAACAAGAGTGAACAATCCGCTTTCTCCTTTGAAATCCAACATTCTAATCACATCTACATTAATAAATTGTTATAAAATACTAATCAAAGATCCAATACAATTCTACTATCTTTATCCTTGATGAGAGAGGAGCTATCTTGATCAAGAGAGAAAACCTTGAATGAAGAGGGAAGATCTTGATCAAGAGAGGAAGCACTTTGTATGAAGAGACAATTTGTGAGAAGATAGAGAAGCACCTTGATGAAGAAGGAAGACTTGATCAAGAGAGGAAGCATCTTGATCAAGAGAGGAGCTGCATGATGAGTGACGGAAGCACTTTGAAGCATTGATGAGAAGATTTGAAGAAGATCTGATAGGAGATCCTTTGTGAAGAGAGGAAGCATCTTGATCAAGAGGAGGAAGCATCATTGATCAAGAGAGGAAGATTAAGGGGAACATTGATAAGAGAGAAGCACTTTGTTGAAAGAGGAGAAGTCACTTGATTCAAGAGAGGAAGAAACTCAACTTTTGTTAAGAGAGAAGCATTCTTGATAAGAGAGAGAAGCAATTTGATGAAGAGAGGAAGCACCTTTGATCAAGAGAGGAATGATCAAGATCGGAAGCATAGATAAAGAAGGAACATTAAAAAACCCGAATAGAACATTGTTTGATGAAGAGAGACAGCACCTTTGTTGAAGAGAGGAACACCTTGTGAAGAAGGAAGCATCTTGATCAAGAGAGAAGCACTTTGTGAAGAAGGAAGCACTTTGATGAAGAAGGAAGCACCTTATGAAGAAATTTGCAAGAGGGAAGGCAATCTTGATACCAAGATAGGACCTGACATAGAGGAATCACTTTGTTGAAGAGAGGAAGCACCTTGATCAAGAGAGAGAAGCACTTTGATGAAGAATGAAGCACTTTGTTGAAGAGAGAAGCACCTTGATGAAGAGAGGAAGCAGTCTTGATCCGAAGAGAGGAAGACTGTTGTTGAAGAGAGAGAGCACTTGATAAAGAAGGACGATCAAGCAGCTTAGAAGAGCAGGCTCTTGAATCACGGAGGAGAGCTGCCTGATGATGAGAGCATCTTGATCAAGAGAGGAAGTTACTTTGAAGAAGAGAGGGAATCACTTTGTTAAGAGAGGAAGCATTCTTGATCAAGAGAGGAAAGCATCTGATCAAGAGAGGGAAAGCACCGTTGAATGAAGAGGAAGCCGCATGATGAAATGCATGATGAGTGAGACAGTCTACTTGATGAAGAGAGAATCGTAAGGAACCGAAACACCTGTTAAAAATAATATAAATTTATTTTTGTAAATTTTCCAAAAGCCTTAGTACCAATGTAATATAAATGCCTCCAAAAATACCATCCCTCCTTCCAAAAGCGTAGAACCGATAACATTTAGCAAAATATAAATTTATTTTGTAAATTTTCCAAAAGCTTAGTACCAATATAATATAAATGCACTAAAAACCCAATGCCATCAGCATGTATTCAAAAAATGCAATTCATACAAATTTGATTGCATTTTTTGAGATGGAAGTGTACTGAATTCACAATTGTAATCCACGAATACACTCCATCTCATTGATAAGAGGCTAATGTTTTTCTCATTAATAAGGCGCTGTTGGCCTCTATCCATAGCCCGAAGTGATATTAACGTACGTTAACGTACAAAGTAAAAACATTTTTTCTTTTTAAGTCATTTAGTAATTAATAAATATGCACTCATAGTAAAACATTAAAATTTATAAGAACGTTATGAAGAAATTGAGAACTTATGATTTTTATTTAAGAAAATGATTAAATAATATATAAATAACCAATATAAACAACATTTTAGATTCCTCTGAAAAGGATCTCAAATTGGTCTATGACCCCTTGAATGGTTCGCCGGTTATTCAAGGTACGGTAAATTAAGTTTTTCGAAAATCAAATGCCAATTCAATTTTTGAAGAAAACCGATCAACTATTGATAACAATGTTTACCGTACCTTGAATAACCGGCGAACCATTCAATTGGTCATAGACCAATTTGAGATACCCTTTCAGAGAATCTAAAATGTTGTTTATATGGTTATTTATAATATTATTTAATCATTTTTCTTAATAAAAATCATAAGTTCTCAATTTTTGCTCATAACGATTCTTATAAATTTTAATGTTTTACTATGAGTGCTAAAATATATTAATTACTAAATGATTTTAAAAAGAATAAAAACATGTTTTTACTTTGTACGTTAACATAGTTAATATGCACTTCGGCTATGGATAGAGGCCAACAGCGCCTTATTAATGAGAAAAAATTAGCCCTCTTATCAATGATATGGAAGTGTATTCGTGGATTACAATTGAGAATTCCAGATACACTTCCATCTCAAAAATGACAATCAATATTATGTATGAATTGCATTTTTTGAATACATGCTATTGGCAGTTGGGTTTTAGTGCATTTATATTATATTGGTACTAAGCTTTTGGAAAAATTACAAAATAAAATTTAATATTTTGTAAATGTTATCGGTCTTTACGCTTTTGGAAGGAGGGATGGTATTTTTGGAGCATTATATTACATTGGTACTAAGGCTTTGGAAAATTTACAAAATAAATTTAATATTTTGTAAATGTTATCGGTTCTTACGCTTCCTCTCTTCATCAAGATGCTTCCTCACTCCATCATGCATCCATCATGCAGCTTCTCTCTTCATCAAGGTGCTTCCTCTCTGATCAGATGCTTCTCTCTTGATCAAGATGCTTCCTTCTTGATCAAGATGCTTCCTCTCTCAACAAAGTGATCCTCTCTTTCTCAAAGTACTTCCTCTCTCTTGATCAAGATGCTTTCCTCAGTTAGTATACATAAGTCGTGTACGGAGGCACTTGCGTTCCTCCATACGCAATACTTGTGAATTTGACACTTTACAAAACCGTAACGTATATTTTACAACACAAACACAAACACCAACTTAACCTTAAATATTTAAAAGCGCCAACCACTTCACCTCACTACTGTAAAAAATAAACGTTCTCACTTACAAAAGTATTGCAACTCTTCCCATTGCTGTGCTTCACACAATGTTCATATTCTCAGTATCGCTGCTGTCGCTCCAATCGTCAGAGTCAAAGTCACTGTCAAATAAATTTAAGTTAAGTTTTTGACAAAGCAAATGAAACACGCTTACCGTTTGTATCGTATGCTTGTATAAACTTTCCTTCTTCATTCCTTCATTAAACGCTCAAACTAACTTTACCCTTTCTCCCTCGTATCTGATAGAATGTATTTTCACGAGGAACGAAGAACAAATTCTTAAACTCATGACCGTTGTAGTTGGTTATCTCAATAGTTTTCGTCATTTACATCAAAATAAAAATAAAAATGAATTTAAAAAATAATATATCACCACCTCACACTATGAAAACATAGCGCAAAAATAAATTTAGGTGAAGTGGTGAGATGTCACCTGTTTTTTTCACCTCTTTTTCTCACCTCTTGATATTTCATGAAAACAATTTATTTTTAAAACAATATATTTTTACACATATATAAAATGCTAATAAAGAATATGGTGAGCCAAAAGTGGCTCGACCTCAAACCAAACATTTTATGAGCTTACAAAGGGTGTTATGAAAGAATTCAGCAAATACATCCTGACCTCAATTTAGTTGCAAAATTCAGTAAAATAAATTTAGGTGAAGAGGTGGAGATGTACACCAATTTTTCTCACCTCTGAATTTTCCCAGATAGAAAAAATTAAAGTTAGTTTTATTTTTATTTATTTTTATTTTGTATAAAAATATGATTTCAACAATCGGCACAACAACAATACAAGCCGCGAACGGGGACTCTGTCCACAACTACAAGCACCAAACTCGTTAGTCATGAATCCACGTCAATGTTGGTAGAAATGAAAACTTCATTCCTCTTCATATACTTTCGAAACAAAAATCCAGAAAATAAAGCAAGAACTTTTAACAATAATTTAGATGTAGTGCAGAAAGATGAAACAAATGAACAGTATCTTTAAAAAATGCAAAATTATTGACCATTCTAAACCCTAAAAAAAACTCACTATTCCTGAATTTGACGAAATTGAAGTAAACAAACTGACTCAGTAGAAATAAAGAAGTTCATACGTAAAAAATTATGAATCCTTGGTTTTCATTGCAACCATAAAGTTATGGACAAAGTTGCGACATGGTATATAAAAACATTTCTGACATATATAAATCTGAAGAATTTAAGACTACCGAAAACTTTTGTTTCTTAGTTGCAAATTGTTTGGCGTAAATAAAGATAAAGATAAAAAGTATGGAATGAACAGATAAGACCCGCTATGTTTGAGATGAAAGAAAACCATTGACGCTTAGTTGTTTAGCAGTAAGGTTTCAAGACATATAACGCAAAGTTGAACCCAACATGTTCTAAATGTAAAGCAGCAATAAGGAAATATAACTACTCCGTCAAAGAGATAGAAAGAATGAGAAACGACTATGCAGACTTAAAGAAAGAAGCAGAAAAGCCAGCAGAAAATAAATGAACATGTTAGAATTTCTGAACAAAAACTATCCAACAGCAGAAGATTTCCTTCTATCTGACGTCAAGAAGAAGTATAAAGAAACCTTCGTATTGTTAAAACTTTTGACATACTGACAAAGAAATAGAAGCTACGAAATTGTTTAGGAATTTCAAATATACATCGTACAATTCATTGTAAAACGTTTATAAAATAACAGGTGAAAAAACAGGTGAAAAAACAGGTGACATCTCACCTCTTCACCTAAACATTATTTTTGGTCAAAGCTTGCCACGAGAGAAAAGATTCCTCATTCGCTAAGGATTCCAAAATGAAAAAATCATTGATTTCGGCTGAAAAAAAAAGGCAAAACCCTTCTTCCACGGAACAAAGAAATAAAAAAAATAAAGAAGAAATAAAGTAAATTTTTATTTATTCCCGTGGAAGATAGAGCATTTTTATGACACTTTTTATTCACGACAAACAAGACAAATAAAGAAAATAAGAAAATACGGCCCTGTCGCGGTTCGAACCACAAGACCCTGACCCCTCCATAACACACTCTTAGACCACTGTGCTACGTAGCCGTCGACATAAGATTTTATAATTGCATATTTGACGTAATTTATTTCCATCTGCTTCCCACTGCATAAGATATTCATACGTGTTGTTAAGCATTCATTAAACTTCTTTTCTATTGCATCTAACCTTGCGTTATTTTTTTCAATAACTTGCTGTATTCTTCATCATCTCCACAGCAGTGTTTGGGTCTCACGTTTAAAATATTCATTGTTAACCAATTTTTTATCTTATAAATTTATTAGTGTTGATTTCATTCGTAATGATAACGGTCATTCTCTTCATACGTAAGTGAAGACAAAATGCGTCGACTTCA